TGGGTCTATTTTCTTTCTTTTGCGGTGTAAGATCTTGCACTTTTTGGAATTTCAATAGCTTTATTTCATTTCATTTTTCAATATTTGCCGAATGGAATATTGCGATATGTTCAGCTCACGAGCCATTTTTCGGCCACTGCGACGCCGGTTTCGATCAAGTCGCTTCTTTACTTTTGGAACCATTTCTGCTGATGTAACTGTTTTCTTCTGTCCACGTCCAATTCTTTGACGTCGAGCTACGCTTCCAGTTTCATTGAAGACACGAGACACAAAAGATTTAATCACATTTAAATGCTGGAGTGCTCTAACGATATCCACTTGTGGTTTTCCACCCAAATATAAGGAAATCACACTATCACGCATGAATTCCATCACGAATAAAATTTTTCTTGAAAATTCTCAGCAAAATCCTTTTGTACGCTTTTAAATAATATAAGGAGCTGTCACTGGAATAATTGACAGCAGTCTAAAGTTGGTTGCAGTTTTTTCATCTCACCCTGTATATGTGGTATAAATGATTTTTTTTGGGTTTTGCCTTTTTAAGGCGAAGATCATATGTTTATGATTTATGTGTTTGTTTCTCTTTCGAGAAGAGCTTAATGATTATTTTGTATAAATGATTAATTTTATTGACGATTCGATAAGGACTCCTTATCAAATTGTGATTTTTTTAAGAATATTCACTGACTTTTGTAAGTAATAAAACCATACTTTAGGGTTTAAATATGGTTTGTATAAATATATTTTTATAATTAGCCATAGACTTGGAATTGATATGTGCCAGCAATGTGCGGTAATTGTGTTTTTTTTTTTAATTCAGGGCGAATCTGAAGGAAAAAAATATTAAGCAGACTTCGAATTTTCTGAAAAAAATATAACGATTCTGAAAGCATTAAATAAATTCGGTACTGCCATCCAGATGGATATTGAAAATACATGGTGTCTGATGTACGGGATCACCTCTACCATAAATGAGCTATGCCATGCATTTCAGAAAAAATCTTTCTACTCACCCGATGTTCGACAATACTGTATCTAGGGGGAAGCAGTACATGGCTCCATTTGGTGTTGTAACACATGGTGTGACATTGCGTCAAAGAAACTTTGTTATAAAATTTAAAAAGAATCACTATTGGATAAAAGTAATACCCGGAGAAACAAAATTGTTAAAACTTTGGAATTCTTATAGAAATCCCCATTTCCTAGCGAAATAATCAACTCCATTTGGCCATGTAACCCCCACCTCAAAAACTAAAATGTTTAATGTGATTGTCACAGACTTAATACCAGCTACTAGTTTTATCACAGCCACTAAAAGTTTATGACAACCCGTGTCACATAAATCACTCGTGGTAATGTAATCGTCCAATGACAACAACATTTTCATGTCTTCATGTTTTCGCCCCGGTCCAGAGATGTTCACTAAAACCAGAATAAGAAAAAGAACAAGTGAATGGATGACAAGATATTTTTCAGCACCACCGACACCAACAGCAGCAGCGGTAGTTAATGTCATCGTTGAAGAATTGCAATTCGTTTATTATGCTTTGTTTCAAGTGGACTTGAATTATAATTTGACTTGCGACAACTTGACTAGTACACCCACTGGCAGTGCATGTGCAAAAGATTAAACATTATTTTGTTATTGTGGTTGGGATGTGTCATAAAAATAATTAATTGAAATAGATTATTGTTGACCCAGAAAAGTGGTACAAAATTAGAGGGAGGAGGAAACAGGAAATGTTGACGATACACATATAATATCTGAAGTTGCTCGAAGGCGTATGAGGGATGTGGTATGCTTGGTCAATGTTGTTCATACGCTCAGATAGCCCAATGAAATCTTTGACATTTTTTAAATGGGTGTGCGGTTTTCACTACATTTAATTTACTTAATTACAATGTGCGTCAATTCAACGATAACATTAGAATGATTAATGATTGTCGTTAAATATTGAATGTCAATTTTGTAATAAAAAAAAAAAAAAAACAATTAACCAACATAATATGTATAGGAGATAAGAAGAGTGATTTATTTGATTAACTGATGGATTGTAAAAAATATGTTGAGTTAATGACGGACATAAAATTATTTTATTTCCTTAATTTATTAGCTTCCTTGAATAATAGGAAAAGAACTTAGAATGTAAGAGTATGTTGGTGGAACCACATCCTATGAATACATACACGATGAGATGAAAAAAAAAACTTCAACCAAATTCAGACTGCTGTCATTTTTAAGCCACTTGTCCGACAGCTGTTATAATTTTTCTAGTGACAGCTCATTATTTTGTTAAGAAGCGTACAAAATCATTTTGGTGAGAATCTTCCAGAAAAAAAGTTATTGGTGATGGAATTCAAGCTTGATAGTGTGATTTCTTTATATTTGGCTGGAAAATCACAAGTAAATAAATCTTTTCTATTTCGTACTCGTTACCGTGATACTGATAGCGCGGCTCAGCGTCAAGGAAGTGGACGGAAGAAAACCGCAAGAATCAGCAGAAATGGTTCGAAAAGTAAAGAAGCGACTTGATCGAAATCCGCGTCGCAGTGGCCGAAAAATGACAAGTGAGCTGAACATATCGCAATATTCCATTCGGAAAATATTGAAAAATAAGCTCGGGGCAAAGCCATTGAAATTCCAAAAAGTGCAAGAACTTACACCGCAACAGAAAGAAAATAGACTCAAAAGGGCTAAAGAGTTGCTTCGCTTGGCTGTAACTGGTGAACTGCAGCAATTTTGTTTTCTCCGATGAGAAAACATTCGTTGTCCAGCAGGTTGTAAACAACTTACCAAAGAGGTCAGCAGAAAATGTGCACCTTCGATTGGCCACTAGAACTCAAGCGATGGCCATGGTGATGGTGTGGGCCGCCATAAAAGCCGATGGTCGCTCTCTGCTCGTATTAATCGACCGTGGCATCAGAATAAATGCCGAATATTATAGCGAAAATATTCTGAAAGGTGTATTAAAGCCTTGGGCACACAAACATTTTGGGCGCAGATCTTGGACATTCCAACAGGACTCTGCACCATCGCACTCAGCACGCGTTACCCAAGAATGGTTACAAAATGAGGTTCCTCACTTCATTTCCAGCGCACCATGGCACCCAAAATCTCCAGATACCAATCCGTTGGACTATTGTGTCTGAAGTATTTTGGAAACAAGGTTGGCTTCGACAGGGAATGGGTTAAAATACCACAGAGCCACCATCGAGCAGCGTGTGACGGTTTCATTGACCGTTTGAAGGTCATAATTCGTGCCACAGGTGTCCAATTCTAATTCTGTCTGTCAGTCCGTCTGTCTGTCCGTCTGTCTGTCTGTTGTAATCACGCTATCTTTCGAATGAATTGAGATAGATGGCTAAAATTTTCAAATTTGGTTTCAAATTGTTTCAAATTTGGTATTTGAAGTTCGAATTGGATACTACACCTTAAGACAGAAAATTGTCTGTGCAGGTCCACGTCTTCGTATAGCCTCCATATAACGGTCCCCCCCCCATATTCGGTATTTTGATGATTTTAGCGACATTATTCACCGGAATTGTTTAAAATTTGGTATTTGAAGTTCGAAATGGATATTGCGCCCTAAGACAGAAAATTGTCTGTGCAGGTCCACGTCTTCGTATAGCCCCCATATAATGGTACCCCCCTATATTCGGTATTTTGATGATTTTAGCGACATTATTCACCGGAATATTTTCAAATTTAAGACAGAAAATTGTCTATGCTGATCCAGGTATAGGCCCCATATATCAGTACATTCCTATATTCGGTATTTTGACGATTTTAGGTACAATAACCACCGAAATTGTTTGAGATGTGGTATTTGAAGTTCGTAATGAATGCTACAGCCTGTGACAGAAAATTGCCTATGCAGGTCTAGGTATTCGCACAGCTCCGATATAACGGTACCTCCCTATATACGATATATTGATGATTTTAGCTTCATTATTTACCGTTTATTTCAAGTTTCGAATTTGAATATGGTAATGGCTTATGACAAACATTGCCTATGTAGGCCCACGTCGTGTACACCTCTATATAACGGCTATATTTGGTATTTTTAGAATTTTAACATAATGTTTTAATGATTTTATTTTCTGAAAATTTCCAAATTCGTTCCAAATGGTGGAGGGTATTCAAAGTTTGGCCCGTCCGAACTTACTACTTTTTAACTAGTTTTATTTCACCCTGTATATATATGTATTTTAGTATCTTTAAAACCCCGTTTAGTACGAATTCGCAAAATCCCAGATTCGCAAAATATATTCCTGTCAGCTTCTGTATGTAAAGCTTAGCCCATCGTAGATTCGTTTTTTTTATTGAATTTTGTAAACGAGAAAATGTAATTGTCATTGAATGGTGACCTAACCATATTCTCTTTTAGAAATTTGGAAGGGCTGTACTGTTTAAATGCTTTTTCTGCTCCTCCAACATTGATCCTGTTTCCTTATAAAAAAATTGTATTAGTTAATATCCACAATTGACGTTCATTAAAATGTAACACGAGCATACGTTAATGCCATTTTAGCAATGTCACCTCAAATGACTTTTAGATTATTAATCACATTGTTTTAAAATTAAAACGCAAGAAGTAGCCATTAATCACATAACATTGACACTTGCCAATATGTTTGTTTATTAATTAACAATATTCATAATGAAGATATACATACGCATATCATATGTATTCATAATGAATAATGCAAAGTGTTTACAGAACTTTTTTCATACGTCATAAGCGTGTCATTATGAATTTTTAAAATAGATTAATTGTTTTGCAAATACACGCTTATGGGTTGTGGATTGACTTCATTCAGATTCTCCTTAATTTTTGTATGCATACTCGTATATGTGGGAGTAATTATATCCATATCGTAATTATGATAGCATAATATCAAAGAGTATTGAAGTTAGCCGATAGCTGGAATAACTCATGAATCGGACTAATGAAATAATTTCATATTATAATGCAAAATTATTAAGAATATGAACTTACCTTTAAATCTTAATACTTTTGCAGTTATAAATCTGAAAAAATAAGAAGAATAAACTTAGTATTGATTAAATTATTTAGAAAATGTCTTTTCAATGCTAGAGTTTGTTATATAAAATAAACAAGTTAAAAAGTATCAGTCGCTTTTGCCGACAGATGTATGCCCCCAGCCAATGTTCTATTGTTCGAAAATAGTTTGACTTCTGTTATTATTATTTAAACTGTTGACCTCTATGGCGTGGGTTCCGAAGGAATAAACGAATATTGTCTATTTCATATCGGAACTAAATAAATATGATATAAATATTGTGACAGGATTGAACTATATTGGATGAGATAAAAATAACTGCAACAAAGTCAAATGACATAATTTATACTTTTTATTAAATTTTATTGAAAGCAAAAAATGTCGAAAATAGCATAAAATTTTAGAATAAGTTTAGATTTGCTCGAATTGGCATTAATTATGGCTTCCAAATGGCCAATGAAACCATCACGCGCTGCCCGAATGTTGCTCTGCGGTATTTTGGCCTATTCCCGGCAAAGCGCTTGCTTGAGGTGATCGACATTTTGGCACTTTTTAGTGGCAACCTTGCTTTCCAAAATACTCCAGACACAATAGTCCAACGGATTGGTATCTGGAGATTTTGGTGGTCATTGCGCGCTGGAAATGAAGCGAGAAACCTCATATTGTAACCATTCTTGGGTGGCGCGATACCCAGGAATTTAATACACCCTCCAGAATATTTTCGCATTTATTCTGATGTTACGGTCGATTAATACGAGCGGACAGCCACCATCGGCTGTTATGGCCACACCATCACCATGGCCGGCGCTTGAATTTTGGTGGCCAACCGAAGGTGCACACTTTTAGCTGACCTCTTTGGCAAGTAAACACGATCATTTTGTTTGCTTGCAAACTGCTGGACAATGAATGTTTTCTCATCGGAGAAAACCAAATTCGGCAGTTCACCACATTCGGTCAAGCGAAGCTACTCTTTAAATGGTATTAAATGGGGTGATGGAATAGAGTTGAAATCCTGAAATTTAATATGGATGTCAGTGTTGGTGTCTGTGGGTGGGAGGGAGCTACTTTTGGATATCCGCACTATAATTGTACTAAATTTGATTCCCCCTTACCAAATTTGGCTGTTGTTCGAAAATACGTCCTATAAATGTTCGAAAAGTACTAAGTGGTACTAATTTTGGTATTGGGTAAAGCAATAGAGCTGAAATTCTGACATATAATATTAAGGCCACTGTTGGCATCTGAGGTTGAGATATGAAGATTGTTTTGAAAATACTTCTATATTTGTTCGAAAAGGGCTAAATGCTACTAAATTTGGTATTGAGTGAAGCGATAGGGCTGGAATCCTCAATTTTTTATGGATGTCACTGTTGATGTCAGTACTAGATATGGTATTGGGTGAAGGGATATGGCTGGAAACCTCAAATTTGATATGGATGTCAATTTTGATATCTGAAATTGAGATATGGAAGTGTTTTTGGAAATGTTTACCATAATTACGAAAAGTACTAAATATTACTAAATTGGTATTGATTGAAGATATAGAGCTGGGATCCCGAAGTTTAATATTTAGGTATTTGTTGGTATCTGTGTTATGAGACAGGTGTGGTTTTTGAAATGTGCCCCGTATTTGCACGAGAAGTAATAAATAATGTTAAATGTGGTATTTGTTGAAGGGATAAGACTGTAATCCTCAAATTTGACATTGAAGTCTCTGTTGTTATTTGAAATTTGAATCTGGAGATTGTTTTGGAAATGTGTACTACAAGTGTCGAAAAGTACTAAGTGATACCAATTTGGGTATTCGGTAAAGCGATAGAGCTGAAATCCCAAAATTTGATGTTGAGGTCCCTTTTGGTATCTGGTGGTGGTTTTGCACATGCATACTAATTGTTCGAAAAGTACTAAATGGTGGTAAATTCTGGAATCATAAAATTTGATACAGCAGTCTCTTTTGGTATCTGAAAATGAGATACAGAGGTGGTTTTGGAAATGTGTATTATATTTTTACGAAAAGTATTTAGTACTAAATTGGGTATTGAGTGAAGGGATAAATCTGAAACCGTGAAATTATATTATATTACGATAACAGTTGGTGTCTTGGATTGAGAAATATAATCGTTTAGAAAATAAGTAATAATATTGTACGAAAAGTTGTAGATTATACTGAATTTGGTATCGGGTAAAGGAATAGGGCTTGAATCTCGAAATCCGATGTTGAGGTTTCTTTTGCTGTCTGTGGTTAAGATATGGAGGTGGTTTCGGATATGTGTACTCTTTTGGTGTCTGGTGCTGAGATCTGTATTAGAAGTACTAAATGGTACTTATTTTGGATCACTGTTGGTGTTTAGGATGGAGAGATATAAATAGTTTTGGATATGCTAAATGTTAGTTAAGTTGGTATTGGCAGTAGCTGTGGCTGTTATGGCGGCTCACACCATCGCCATGGCCGGCGCTTGAGTTCTGGTGGCCAACCTAAAGTGCGCATTTTCAGGTGACCTCTTTGTCAAGTAAACACGATCATTTCATTTGTTAAAAAAACTGCTAGACAACGAATGTTTTCTCATCGGAGAAAAACAAATTCGGCAGTTCACCACTTTCGGCCGAGCGAAACAACTCTTTAGCTTTTTCTGTTCTTTGCGGTGTAAGTTCTGTTGCGGTGTAAGTTCTAGCACTTTTTGGAATTTCAATGGCTTTACCCCGAGCTCATTTTTCAATATTTGCCGAATGGAATATTGCGATATGTTCAGCTCACGAGCCATTTTTCGGCCACTGCGAGGCGGAGTTCAATCAAGTCGCTTCTTTACTTTTCGAACAATTTTTGCTGATGTTTTCTTTGGTCCACTTCCTTGACCACGGGTTACGCTACCAGTAACACGGTAACGAGCGAAGGTACGAGGCAAATAAAATTTATTCACGTTTAAATACTGGAGTGCTCTAACGATAACCGCTTGCGGTTTTCCAGCTAAATTTAAAGAAATCACATAATCATGCTTGAATTCCATGACGAATAACTTTTTCTGGAAAATTCTCACCAAAATGATTTTGTACGCTTCGGAACAATATAATGAGCTATCACTGGAATAATTTCATCAGCTTGCGGACGAGTGGTTTAGAATTGACAGCAGTCTGAAATTGGTTGCAGTTTTTTCATCTCACATTGTATTTAATTTTTTTTTCATAAATATTCTAATAAAAACACCGGATATACATACGTCGACAAATCAACGGATGCAATATAATGTGATTTCTTTCCTTTTTTAATTAGGAAATAAAAATCTCAGTTCTTACGGTGTATGTAAATAATTAATGAACATTTAAATGATTTATATCGAAGTCACGAACTTGTTTCTCTCTTCATCCCGGACGTGACACAAAACACTTTCTCTATGTGAAAGTGATTATTTAGCTTCTTTAGAATGGCTAAGCTACACAATTATGGCTATTTTTGGTCTTTGAGGAGTATTTTAACTTGGTTTCCTTCTAATTTATTGAATGATTCTTGGAAATGGATTTCTTTCAATTATCTAATTGTCACGCTGTGTTCTTATAAATAATAAATATTACTTTTATTGTTTCGAATTGAAACGCACAAACACAACTACCTTAAAAAAGAAGAAAGACAAAAAAAAATAAAAAACACAACACAAATTGCAGAACAATGCTTTCTTGAAATTGAAATCAAAGTTGTAAACAACAACAATAACATCAACAACAATAGCAATAGCAACATCAACCTGACCCAAACACGCAGTAAATCCAGATGCCTCTTGAAAGATGAGGAGAGTCATCTTACTTTAGGTTTGTAATTTTTCAGTTTTTCTGCTCGGCTCACATTGTTCGCCCAGTGTTCAGTTCGTCTCGGTTCATTTTAATACTCAAAAGTGAGTTTAACCTTTATAATGCAATTATCAGTTGATTGCATTTCAAAAGGAGGTATTCAAATTCAGTTTTGCTCTCTTCATAACATCTCTTCCTCTCTCATGTCTCTAAAACAGAGATGATGTGTTGTTGCCTCTGATATTCCACAAAAAAAGCAGAAGAAGAAAATGTGCCCACATGACACGATTTCATTCATTCATCTTCTTCATTCAATTGGATAAGGTGAACGAAATCAAGTTATATGAGATCCGAGAGAGATGAGATGAGGTGAAAATGGTAGGTGAATGGAATTATGTATATGTGTATGTGTGTGCGTGCGTTCAGTGTGCTGTTGAAACACCACAGAATTCCTCACAATAAAGTATTCGGAAGAATTGCATTTCAAGTGGATTGAATGCACTCGAATTTGAATGTGAAATGTTCAGTCATAAGATGTTAGACAAAGTTTAAAAACAGATCTTTTTTGTATCCGGAGGAAATATGAGGGGTTATTCAGAAATGGGTAAATAAGAAAGGGGATTCATATGAATTTCTGTCATCTTCAGTAAAGGTATACTAAAGATTTGGCGTATATATTGTCTCCCAAATCTATTAGAATCAGAAAATGGGAGGAATATCTTAACATACAGGGTGAGATGAAAAACTGCAATCAATTTCAGAATGCTGTCATTTCTAAGCCACTCGTCCGACTGCTGTTAAAATTATTCCAGTGACAGCTCATTATATTGTTTACAAGCGTACAAAAGCATTTTGGTGAGAATTTTCCAGAAAAAAAGTAATTCGTGATGGAATTCAAGCGTGATCGTGTGATTACTTTATGTTTGGCTGGAAAACCACAAGTGACTATCGTTAGAGCACTCGAGTATTTGAATGTGAATAAATCTTTTGTGTCTCGTACCATCGCTCTTTACCCTGATACTTCCCGACGTCAAGGAAGTGTATGGCAGAAAACAGCAACATCAGCAGAAATGGTTCGAAAAGTAAAGAGACTTGATCGAAACCCGCAGTGGCCGAAAAATGGCTCGTGAGCTGAAAATATGGCAATATTCCATTCGGCAAATATTGAAAAATGAGCTCGGTGTAAAGCCATTGAAATTCCAAAAAATGCAAGAACTTACACCGCAA